CTCACGTCTGGTGGACTAGGTGTTTCGTCCCACCCCTAATATAAGCCCTTAAATGTCCCCACCACTTTTCAACACAAAGTGACGCCCTTAACTACAGGAACTAAGTGAAGCTATTCAATAAGCAGGCCTTGCATTAAATCGCTGTTCAAAACATCCCTCTCTGTACTGGCAGTCCCTGCACACAGCTGCCTGACTGACAGTAACATCCTCAACGAGTTGTCATTTCAGCACCAGCTCGAGCGGAAAGCGCCATTCATGCATCTGCGCGCGCACATCGACGTGCAGCCAAACAGTGACCGAACTGTTTCCACAGGGCGTGCTGGGAATGAATGACACATTTTTTCCCGTCCGAGAGGCAAACTGCCAGCCACACCAGGGCTACAAAACAGAAGTGGGCCGTCTAACTGGCCCTATGTGTGTCAAATCTTAGCGGAAGGAAATGTGAAAATACTCAGCGCGCTCTGCGTTTTGTCTCACTGGTCTGTAGTTTTATCACTTTTATGTCAACACTGAGGACAACGCATTTTCTGTCACTGACCTCCCAAGTGTAGACGTGTCACTAAAGCCTTGTTGTCACTGATCGCTGAACCTCCTACCTTCTCCTTGGCTTCCACGGTCGGGATGGACGGTAGCAAGCCGTCGATGCTGTGACTCTCCATCCTCTTCCTGCCTCTGCCGCTCGTCGTATCGTTGTAGAAGTAAAGCGCCACGGCGCCTCCTGTTGCAAGACACATCCCGACAGCCAGACACCTCCGTGTCCTTCCTCCATTGACCGTCTGACCACCGACAAACTCGTTTCTCGCCGCCGACCAGAGGTTTAGCTTACCGGCCAGCGCTGACACTCTGCGGAAAGCGGCCATTGCTGCTGCTGTTGTTGTTGCTGCCGCTGTGCTGCTATGATAATAACTTTGCTTGCAGCACAAAACTATCGCGTTTCCTCGCTTTCATCGCGAGATGTGTGGGAACTCGCTTGATGCTCAGGCTGCGAGAAAAGTTGATGATTCAGTGAGTGAGAGTGAGTGATTAATGATGAACCGCGGTCAATTATAAACAAGAATGGAGTCGAAGACTACACAGTGGATTTTCAGTAGCTACACCAATTCAGTAGCAGTAACATAATATTGAAATAACATGACGAAAGTCTGATAGTGGAATTAATTGATTTAAGATCATATATTACCAACATAACAGTAGTGTAAGGAGAAGGCCTAATCTTTTGCCTAATTAAAAATAGGAATAGACTATCACAATATTAAAATTCTCTGTTAGAAGTATAAAAGTCCAGCATTCAAAATAAGTATTCTAATAAGTAAAAGTACATTAGTATTAATCAAAATGTAGCCTACTTTATCAAAAGTAAAAACACTCATTAATCATTCAGTAGAAATGTCCGTGTCATGTGTTATATGTTATATAAATATTCTCTCTTTATATGCTGCCATGGGGTAGCTTAATCTAAAATACATCATATTTTGTAAATTGATCAGATATTTTGTAAAATATTAATCAGCAAAATAACATTGCTGTCAGATAATAGGAGTAAAAAATTCAGCATTTCCTTCTCAAATGTGGTGTAAAGTAACATAAAAAAGAAAGTAGTAAAGTACCACCTCAAAGTTGTATTTAATAAATGTACTTTCCACCTGACTGTTTCCACCACAGCAAAGGCCTACTCCCACTCACTGCATGCTGTGACACACATGCAAAATCTGGCAAATCACATTCAAAAACAGTTAGAGAGACTCAACATGTGAGTCTACATCTTGGGATAAACTTAAAAGACATCTTGGTTTGGGGGAAATTATAAGTGACCAATGACGTCATTTGTCAATCTTCACTTTTCATTGAGGTCAGCGTGGTATCAAATTTCCAGTGGGAAGTGCAGGATCAAAGGAGCCAATGGGGGGCAGATATCAAACGAATATCAAAGATGAACTCCTCATTTAAGTCTTCACATGTAGGACTAATGTTAACCTGATGGGGCTTTTCTTATGACTTTGATGCCTTGAGAATAAAGGACAGAAGTCTAATAGATGGGCCTGTCACCTGTTCACACATGAAGCAAGGTGGATCACTGCAACCTGTAAGCTCCATTTAGCCAAATGTTGAAAACAGATCAAACAATGACTATCAAAACCTCTTGGTCGAAATAACCCTTTTAAAATGTTAATTATAGCTATTAATCCCTTAATTCCTTCCTTTCATTTATATTTTGCTCACAACCCAAACAAGATTAGCCTAATATGATGACTAATCATATCAGTAGGTTACCTAATTGGCTGACTGATGGAGATGGAAATGTTTAATAATTCATGCAAACTAACCTGTAAAACACGCACATGTTAAATGCCCACAATTTTGACTGATCTGTTTTAACACATATGGTATTTCAAAGCTGACTGTTGCATAAAATCTGGTCATTTCAAATATTTACATATAACAGAGCTCCAACAGAAACACACTGCTTTCAAGGACCCTTGGAGTTCCCCAAACCCTGGTTTGGATACCACTTACATTAATAACCTCTAGGCTACTTATTCAGTTATTCCATTATCCAGGCATTCGATTAGGTTGTAATTTATTTGTGTGTGTGTGTGTGTGTGTGTGTGTGTGTGTGTGTGTGTGTGTGTGTGTGTGTGTGTGTGTGTGTGTGTGCCGCGCCTGTGGGTGGTTGGATGAGGGGTGGGGGTATAACCCTGGAGGCCTCCTTCTCTTCCATGACTGCAATGGTTGGCTTCACTCTGTCACTAACATGTCACAAACAGAGCAGCAAACCTATAGAAAATACATTTTAAAGCAAACCACGTAACCCTGGGAACTGTTTACTTGCTCATTGTAAGCTTGCGTGGAAATGTGGCATTGCAGTTGACATCTTCATTGTGGCCAGGTCGATATCCAATGCATCAGGATCTGATCAGCCTGGAGGCGATTCCGATCGATCTCCTCTCCTTTAAAAAAAAGTTCCGTTTTTTTTGTTGCTGGTCATAAATACTAATGACGCGAGGGAGAAGGACGCACGCCACGCACATAGATGCCCACTCAGTCCTTGTGTGTCACACACACACACACACACACACACACACACACACACACACATCATCATCATCATCATCTAAACCCATGACATAACATATATCCTAGGCCTATATACATATAAAAAGACGAAGTCAATGGCAAAAATAAAGTCCCACAATGCCCCTGTCTTGCACTCGTGCTGGAGAAATCGACAGGAGTAGCACAATGACTTACGTATAGCGACTTCACACGCGCGCCCACTCACACAAACACCTCTGCACCGTCAACTCATTTATCAACGCTACTCCCAAGGGTGGGGGCAGCTGTGCGCGCGCGTGCGTTTCTGTGCGCGAACGTTTAGCTGTCAAAATCAATGCCATATAGGCAGGATCATGGGCTCCCGTGCCACTGTTTAGATTTAACAGTCTGAATCAACCATGAAAATCTAAAACACATTAGGCTATACGGAAAAGAGGTCAAATTTAATTTTTGGTTACATATTTGGCAACCAATCTTGCATTAGGGTATTACTTGACAATCATGACATTTTTATTAGCATTAACATGCAGTGCAAATAAACAAAAGGTCGGCAAGCTATGAGTGAGTTACCACAAGACCAACGACCATCATGAACAGCCCATGTTACGATTCATAAATATTGACCGCAGAGTGTCAGCGCTGGCCGGTAAGCTAAACCTCTTAAAATATAAATATCTACTGTTTTGTTCATTGTCAATAAAGCATCATTAAATTTTTACATATAGAGTAAGTGACTGATACATTATGGTCAGTTGTTACACAAATAGGGAATAGAAAATGTTGGATATGATCAATAAAAAGATGTATATGCGTAACAAACGTATTTACATGACGGATTAACAGCTTGATTTTTTTCTGAGGCCCTTCAAGTGTCAAGTGTTTGCAGTTCAAACAGGTATATTCCCTTCTTCTAGTTGTTATTGCCTGATCTCCTTACAAGATCCCTGCACTTTGAAGCATAGTCTTTGATTCGTCTTTTAAGACCACAATTAAGGATATATGGGCTCCTGTGCTGTTCAAAGCGTCGTGGAAAGATCAATGAAGGGATTGACAGTCAAGTGATGTCGTTTGCACAGGTGTGTGTGGGTGCGTGTGTGCAATTGTGTGTGTGTTTGTGTCTGTGCGGGCGCTGTAAACGTGGGGCTGGGTTACATAAAACAGGGGCGATAAATCAACAGCCGGGTGCGAAAATTACGCAAATGGGGGCTTTCCTCTCTCTCCGGCCGCACCTGAGTCATTTATTTCGAAATGGGGGGCGTGGGGTTGTAAAGCGTTTAGGGTAATGGAAATATCACTTTCATGCTGTTTGACGTATACACACACTCTCTCTTTCGCTCTACGTCTACTATTTCACACACAAGTTGCTGCTGAGTTGCGCACTCCTTTTCTCTTTAACACACACTCACACATGGTTCAATCTGGAATAACTGGCTGCTGGAAGTGCCCACGAGCAATATGATATTGCGTCGGCTATATAGCCTATGAGTTCAGGGAAGCCGTTGTGTTGCTGCAAGGGGGAGCAAGCCAGTCAGGGTAATTTTCATTTGTAGTTTTCAATTTCCACTCCAACTCCCTGTGCTCTCTGCACTGAAACTGAACATCAAAGGTGAGGCAGGAGAAGGATGAGCAGAGGGATGAAGGGCACCATTTCAAACGGGAACAGAAATGAGCCACAATAGGGGGATATCGTGGTGCATTTGCATAAAAAGGCAACTCAGGTTGAATTTCCATATAGGGGTGTTGCGTTATATAGCCTGGATGTGGAGTGCAGCAGGTCTACTGGTCTCACTGCTGCCTCTGGAGGAGCTGAGAGAGCGGAGGGTACCGCAGAAATAAAAGGCTGTAGTGAGTTGAGAAGAGCAAGAGAGAGAGAGAGAGAGAGAGAGAGGAAAACCCTGAAGTGCTCAGGAGCAAAGGGGAGTATCCCGAGGTGAAGAGGCGAGAGAGGGAGCGGACAGAGAGCACAGGAGAGAGGGATAAATAGCAGAAGAAAGGAGAAAAGGGGACACGGGCTGCTGCAACCGGGGATACCTGCACACATCAACGCGGGAGTTAAATCTTAATTAGATGACAATCTAATTAACAGTGCTGGTTACTGCGCCACAACGCGCACTCATTGAGGATTTTCTCAGCCCGCACGTCCAACTTTTCTTTTTCTCCACTCCACGGGCCTCGCTCGTTGGCTCGTGTCGAGGCTCTCTGCTCATCACTTGGATCTCTACTTGGATCGCCTGTGCTGTCGGGTGTCTTATCTGTGATGGGGGCAGCGGCGGAGGTTGGGAGCTTCGCCAACGGATTTCTGGACAGCTTTGGCCCCGCGGGTGCCGTTCCGGCTCCCGTTGGCTCTCATTTCGTTCTCACCCCAGCCGGGGCGGTGGACTACAACTCGGTCACCGGACTGATGATGGGGGGACAGGGGCAGCAGCAGGAGCACCTGGTCTCCGCGGAGAGGCTGTCCCGGAGCCTGGCGGACCTCAGCCATCTGAAGGGGATTCTGAGGCGGCGGCAGCTCTACTGCAGGACCGGCTTCCACCTGGAGATCCGTCCCGACGGAACCGTGCAGGGCACAAGGAAGGACCACAGCAGATTCGGTACAGACCCCTTCACAAACCTACAGTCATTATTATTATTATTATTATTATTATTATTATTTCTGCTATGCTCTATTGGTTATGCTCATTGCATATGTAGCAGTCTACTGTGATGGCAGCTGCTACTGCTGTAACACTGAACTGTGGTCAGCAGCCAGTAGATTTTATTATGCATCCAGAGAAACATAATTTATTTAAAGGTAAATACACTTTCCAGGTGGGACACTGAGTATTTTATGTTTGCACATTTCCACCACATTTCCTCTTTGAGATTAGATCAGAAGCTTTTCTTTACTTTTACCGGCTTATCTTCAGCTATCTAGATAAACAGCTGCAGCTTACGACAGATCAAAAGTGGACCTCTTAGAGATTTCTTTTAGTGCTGCTAGGCTGTAGCACTTCTGGCACTCCATTCATTCCATTTGAGACTTGGATGTAACTTCATGCCAGAGGCCTTTCCAGACACCCAACCTTGCTTGTCAGAGTCAGCTGGTGTGAAGTTATTTACTGTACTTTTTATGTAGTGAGTGCAGGTAAATTTTGTCTCATCATTGGCCTTCTTCAGATGTTTTCCATTTGGCTTGTATTTCTATATCATTTCACAAATACATGATAGTGCAGTGGAACAAACCTTAGCAGAATTAATGTTTGTATTGTATCCAATACCTTAAATCATGGTTATGTGTGTTATCAGATGTGTCAATGAAGTTGAATGTGCTTATTGTAAGGTTCGTTGTAAATGTAATGCAATGTGTGTGTGTTCACAGGTATTTTGGAGTTCATCAGTCTGGCTGTGGGGCTGGTTAGCATCAGAGGGGTGGACAGTGGCCTTTACCTTGCCATGAACAACAAGGGAGAACTGTATGGATCGGTGAGTACGCACACTATGTACACAGTAAACACACACATATCCATCTGCAGACTGATGTATTTTTCAACCCACAGTATACTGTATACCAATTCTCAACATGTGTTATGTGTAACCCTCTGCCAGCAGGTGGCACATTTTGCAGCACTAAACTCATATTTTTCTCTGCTTGTCTTCCTTTCTGCAGGAGAAGCTGTCTGCAGAATCAGTTTTTAGGGAGCAGTTTGAAGAAAACTGGTACAACACTTACTCATCCAACATCTACCGGCATGGAGAAAAAGGAGCATTCTACTTCGTTGCTCTGAACAAAGATGGGACATCCAGGGATGGAACGAGGTCGAGGCGACATCAGAGGTTCACTCACTTCCTACCGAGGCCTGTAGACCCTGATAGAGTACCAGAGCTGTACAGGGACATACTGGGCCAGAGCTGAGACTGAAGGGGACATTACCATAACCCTGTCAGAGCCAGTCTGAGCTGAAAAGCAACCCAAGTGCACCAAATCCTCACCCCTTCTTGAAGGAGATGGAAGATCGTGTTGCCCCGCTGGCATGAATGAAGGAAAGAGACCCTTTCTGAAACAGACTAGCCGGGGAGTTTGACTGAACAGCACCAGGGATCTTCTGTGGAAGATGTGAAGGCCCCATGACAGACAGAGGCTACCTGGGCCCCCGAATATTGCCCCTTTATTGGCCTACGCAGAGGCCCAGGTGTTCAAACAGATGAATTAAGGATTTTGTATGAGTTTCCACTAATTAAATCCAACTACCTGCTATTCAAATCTGCATGTTCAAGAGGACAAAAGCGTGGAAGTAATTAACATCTAATGGGCTGCTACTAGCCTTTTACTGCTGTGGCTGGATAGTCTTGTCAATTCCACTGTTTTTAGTAGGCTTTTTATTTTATTCAAAATACTACTGTGGCTGCTAAGTAAATTATTTAAAAAAAAAAAAAAAAAGCATAATCCACTATACAGTGTGGCTGGTTTACACAAAAAGGTAAAACTAAAGGTAGTTTCATGCACTGGAAAGCAGCCATGTCTGTTCTGGGAAACAGGTCTGAGAGCTGGTGGAATCTCCTGTACTTGACTGACTGTTGGGATAGATTCCCTTTGAAACTGCTCCAAAGACAGATGCTGCTAAGAAAATATGATTTTTCTATAAAGTGCATGAGCAACAAGAGAAGAAGTACAGATCCAATGGAGTTTTATAAGGACTTCTTCTGTGGTGGCCTGTGGAACTCTAGAACCCAGTGAAGGAATTCTGTTGTTCTCCCACTGATTGCAGTCAACGAGCACCGACAGAGACGCCTTTACAAACCTGTTGACAGATTTTATTCTTATTTATTTTTTGTTTCCTAGGACATACAGTATATTTATTTCATATATTAATTTATTTTGAGAATATATTTTTACAGGTATGAGAAAAAAAAAAATAAAACTATTCGGAACAAGTCACGAGAGATCATTCGTATTTATTGTGTCACAGTATAAACTGCAGTTTTCCATTCTCACAGTCTGATTGAAGAGGTACAAATCAAGTTTTTCAAAGCTGGTCCAAATTTTGTCTGGAGCTGTTGTTGGAGCAACCAGATCTTAACCGGATAGAGGATAATTTCTGCAATTTTAAACCTGGGCCCTATTTTCAAATATTTTGGCATTGAAATTACTAGTAGGTACGAAAAGTAGAAGATGGAAACAAGGGAGAGGAGTTTGTTGTGTATGTAGAGGAACTGCTAGCAAGCAAAACGCAATAAACTCTTCTCTCCAACTCTGACTTACGTTTCCACCAGCATTTCCTGCAACAACTCACCTTTCATAAGATGTCAGAGAAAGAACTGTCCTTGAGCAAGACTTTGTTTTCCTGTTTAAACCAAGGGGTATCTCGTAGGGATCCTTTCCATGATGTTCTTAGACACTGACAGTCAGTGTACAGTGTACATGTAAATGGCAAAAAGTCACTTTTTGTGGATGTAATTTTGACCGGCACATTTACGTTGCAACCACTGCAGCTTGTTAGCAACTGCCGGCTGAAGCTAACTACTACATGGACTCCAAGAATTGTACATACTATTCACTTCAACACCAAAATACTTGAAAATAGGGCCCAGGTTTAAAATGACCTAAATTAACTTGTTGGTTTCTTTTGGACATCAGCATTAAAGGTTAATTTAGGTCCAAAAGAATTGAAAATACCTGAAGTGGAGATTTAGTATTTAGTATTATTTTTGCGCTTAATACATCATTTAAAGTACCCCAATAAAGTTAGGGGACCTACAAGAGACAAGAGAAAGAGATTTTCAGACTGATCCTGAAAATTCCCATAGTGCAACTCTGTACTGTCTTTTGTCAGATCGCCCTTGCCTGGTAAACATCCATTAGTTTCAAACTCCACAACCCCAGGTTGTGTTAGATATTTGTAAGCTTCAAGCCCAAGTCAATATTACTTAAGTGATTTCACCTGGGTAACTTTCTCAGAATTGACAAGGCTCCTGCAGACCCACAAAAGACATAATACATGTATACAACTTTACAGGCTGAGTGGTACCCCAAGACTAGAACACTGAAGGAGGGGGGAAAGGGAAGCCTGTGGCCTTACTTTAGGCACACTTGCACCAAGCCAAGGGTGTAGTTAAATGCATTTGTTTGTTTAGGGAAAAGTGAAATAATCACAAAAGGAGAATGCCGACTGGTTTTGACCTACACTGGGTCTTCCTCAGGCCCGGACTGGAAAGAAGAGTCAACCTGAGTGGAAAGAATAATGCAAGAATAATGTCTGAATATTAAAGCAACTAATGTGCAAGAAGAAGCCTGGATTACTTAATTAAATAATTAAAAATGGGTCCACGTCCAATTCTGCTGAAGTATGTCTCACTCCTAAATGTATGACATGTCATGTGGCAGCTCATAATTCCAATGAAAACTAATAAAGATAGAGAGCTTAATTGCATTCCTTGCCTTTTCTCTCCCTGCAAAGTCAATACCTAAAGGACCTTGTTGACACTTGACACTGTTTGTTGTAGTAAAGTTTATTTTCAATTGGCACCATCCAGGGAGTAAGAGGCAAAGCCAAATATGCACCTTTGGTAAGAGACTAACTACTAGACTGCCACAACCCTTAAACTACAAACTCTTCCATGTTTTACATATGTGACATTAAAACTTATTTATTATACTATTATATTCAAAATCACTTCTTCTAGGTTGAACTATAAAACCATTCCTCTTAATTATTATGTTTTTTAGTGAGATACACACAATGACTGTTCAAGAACAAAACATTTGTTCAGTTTCATGCATTTTTATATTTCAAAATGGTTCTTGTGGTCAGTTTCCAGTGTTCTTATAGAAGAGCATACTGAATAGGCAGCTTTTAACTTTTTGCAGATGAAATTAGTGTGAGGAGAATCTGTTGCTTCATACTTCCACTGACCTAAAGACCAGAAGACAGAAAGGCAAAGAGACACATTAGAAAAGCAAGAAGGAGAGAGAGATGACAAACGAATCAGAGTATGTTTCAACTAAAAGACATAGACAGAGTAATGGGAGCAATGTGAAAGGAGGAGAAAAATAACATGAAGTCATCTGTGTGAAGAGACAGCACGCGCTTCCTCTGACAGACACTGCAATTAGGCAAGTGACTGGCAGGCCAAGTGCACTGCTACACTCTTTCATCCTCCCCTTCATCATGCCTTTATCTTTCTCTTCATCCACCTGTCTTAGGTGAGTCATCCCTTGTTCTTAGGACACCTGAGACTGAACTGACTAGATGTCAACTCTGGCATAGACACACAGAGACAGAAAGAGGAGTGCTGAAGTTAGAAAATAATGTTGCAAAGGCAGGAAAAGACGAGTATGAGAACGAAAGAGGTGTGGAATATCTGTTTTGCAGCCGATTGCAAACTTGTGTACATTGAGTTTCAGTGGTCATTCTTGACCTTGAAAACAGCAGTGGACAAAACAATCTTGCATCAATGTCAACTTTCGATGGTATCAAATGATTTTCCTCAGCAGATTGTTCTGACTAGAACATCCACTGTGTGTGGCGCTGTTCTAATTTCGTTAGGTTGACACTCAGGAAAACCAGCCCAGTCGCCAATAGAGATAGCATAAAGTTTGCCAAACACATTAGGTCTACAAGCTTAAAGTCTTTATTCTTAGTTTTTTTGTGTAAGCTAAGCATCCAAACAGGGCTAATGTTAAAACAAAATAACTGTCTGACCTTAAACTTTCCCTTATTTTACGCCACTGTATGTAAAGACTAACTAGTTCTATGCAGTGCAACAACAATACTGCTGCTTCTACAGGAACCGATAATCTGGGGAGGATGCTGACGTTTTGCCTAATAGCTTAGCCTTTGTCTTTTTGCATGATATTATGTAGCCATCAAATGCACATTTAAGTCTCTTTTTCAACCATATAATGGAGCCAACAATAATTATCATTATTTATCATTTCAGCTGGCAAAATTGGTGGTTGTCTGCTTCAATTCAGAAGCCTGCTTTTGTTTACGTCTGTGTGAAATGAAGGACCAAGTTTTGAAAAATTACTAAGAATTTAGAGGGATACATACATCTGCCCCCAGTATCATTGTGAACTGCATGTGGGGTGCATGAACTGAAAACTTGACCTGCGTAACATCAGAAAACTACAGAGGTGGGGTGTAGAATAGTCATTGCCATGAGAACTGGGCAAACACCATCTGCTAAGGACAAACTTGAGGTACAATCAAAAGCAACAGAACATACTAAATTGACCTTGAGGTGAGATTGTTTTTGTTCAATTTATTTCTGTGTGCGCGTGTGTTTTATTGGTACGTTGAAAGCATTCTAATAATTTAAGTGTAATCAGATTAAGGTTATATTCTGAAATTGGAGTGAAACTGGAGTACCAGTATGCTTAATTGAGTTACCAGATCTCAGCAACTTGTCAATCTTTTGAATTACCTTGGCGCACCTTAAGCCCTCTTTGCAAGAGGGTACCTGGGTAATTTTCAATCCCTCACGTAATGTGTCACCTTTGTTCTTCTTAGCACAGGGTATGTACTCTATCAGGCTCTATAGGGTTACGTTAGTGAAGTACAATGCTTGAACCTCCCACTGTTACACCCACAGGACCCCTGCATACTGGTGATGTTAGCAAAAAGGCTAAAAACAATGCCTGATTGAAGCAGAGCTCAGTGCTGCCTCTCAGCCTGTACCATTCATTTAGCCAAGGTTTGCCTGACACTGGGGAAACACCAGTTCAGTCATATTTGTCTCAAATAGTTTTATGTCTCCAGCTGCATCTCACATCACAGAGACATTGCCATGTATAGGTTGATGCCAGCATACAGGCTCATCAGCTCTGCTGCGTATTTCAGATAAGATTACAGGGCTCTGCTTTACATGTGCCCAGTTGTACAGGCAGGAGCATGGCTACATTGTGTCTAGTTAAGACATGGTTCAGTGTGTGCATAATCCTCTGATAAGGGTATACAGTGTAGGATGAGACGGAGAGAACATCAGACAGACAGCACCTGAGTACCAGCATACGTACACTGACTGAGAGAGAGAGAGAGAGAGAGAGATCTTAAAACCAGGCAAGATATAGAGAGAGGGGCATGGAGAAACAGGTGGGTTTCTGAGAAGAAGAATTAGGGAAAAAGCTGTATGTGGGTTCTTAGTGTTGCCGGCCTGTCAGGTTACAATCATCCTTTGAAGTGAGTGTGTGTGTTTGCAAGGAGGGGGAGGCATGTTTATGTGCGTCAAAGTGATGCGTAGATTCATGTCAGCACAACGTCTGTGTGTGTATGTGTGTGTGTGTGTGTGTGTGTGTGTGTGTGTGTGTGTGTGTGTGTGTGTGTGTGATCTGTGAATCTGTGTGAAGGTGAGCCAGGGGTTCTCCTGACTAGAGGGCTGTCTGACTGATGTGTGAAGGCTTGTGTGTGTGTGTATGTGCGTGCGTGTGTTTGTGTGTGTGTGTGCCTTCACCCCGTCTCTGCAGTCTCTGTCTGTCCTCTGTGGGGTTTTCCATCAACTGGTTATATCTCCACTGTTGGATCCAGCAAGTAATGGACCATACAGAGATAACCAGAGCAAAAGAAGTTCACCTCTTTCTTGCATCTTTCCTGTCCATCTCCTCGGTGTGCTGTCCACTAAAGCTCAGACAAATTACAAGTGTCTTCTCATGTTTTAGCCAAAAAGCAAGAAAATGATCTAACATTTAAAGCAGAAATGGCTTTAAATGTATTGCCCCTTATCCCATGGTCAAGTACTATATTTATGAAAGCAACCCTGAAAGCACTTCAAATTACAAAATGTCAAAAAAGACGTGGTTGACAGTAAGCATTTTTAGGCTCCTTCAAACTTAACGTTATAGAGACTTTGTCAGAGTTTTCAAG